AAAGCCCCGTTTATGGAACCTTTATTTTTTGGGAGAGTACTAAGCATCCAAACAAAACTCTGAATATATTTCAAAAATTTAATGGAAAACTTTAACAAATCCACGGATTAATTCTTCATTATCATACTGGTTCCTCCAAATGGATTCAATCTACTGGATCCAAACACTTGAAAGTTGTGTACCACCAGCCAATCAGATTGAAATGGCGATAATGTCATTTTTGTGTGCCATACACATCAGGTGGTCAGTGAACTGCACTCAACAGTTGACTCAATCAGGACATTATTTTGTAAGTAATAAGAGTGGCTTGTTTTTTATGAGGACTCTGATGAGGGTTTGACTTTACTTTGGGGTAGGTCACTTCAATTTGATTCATTGCAAGAAGACAGTAAGTTCGATTAGTTCAGTTTCTCTTGTTAGAGGCTGTCACTTCTGATCCAAACACTTGAAAGTTGTGTACCACCAGCCAATCAGATTGAAATGGCGATAATGTCATTTTTGTGTGCCATACACATCAGGTGGTCAGTGAACTGCACTCAACAGTTGACTCAATCAGGACATTATTTTGTAAGTAATAAGAGTGGCTTGTTTTTTATGAGGACTCTGATGAGGGTTTGACTTTACTTTGGGGTAGGTCACTTCAATTTGATTCATTGCAAGAAGACAGTAAGTTCGATTAGTTCAGTTTCTCTTGTTAGAGGCTGTCACTGCTGAGCTGGGTAATACTGTCCATATGCAGGCCCTAATTATTTACTCTGCAGGCAGAGAACAAAGTCATGCTTGCTATACCATCATGCAATTCACACAATCAGATTCAATCCACACAATCAGATTCCTCACAACTAATCTCAAGAGAACTAATCTCGTTCTTTCACAAGCAATTATCTTAATGTAACCGGCTGGTAGGAGATGCACCGCCCAGCCCAGATGAAGGCAATGACTTTCATTTTGCATCAGTCCCAGGATGTGGCAGAGATCCGTGACTAAGTTAAACTGTCAATCTGTGCTTCTATTGGAAAATTAGAGCTAAATTAAAGAGAGCTCCAGCACTGGATTGTGGCCAAAACAATTAAGGAGCACTAGCATGGACACAACAAATGATGCATACATTTTTATGTACAGTTTTTTTTTGAATAATATTTCACAATATTACTTCCTATACTATAGATAGCATTTATATATATATATATATATATATATATAGCTATATTTAATTAAAACATCACATAAACATAATATTTTGAGGATAGGAAGAACAGCACAGCTGCCGCGTTGCTCAAATATCAAACACATTGAGGCATACAAACTCGACCATCAAAAAATCAGTGTTCTGTAAATACAGAGATATGTGGCTGTCTTCCTATCTGTATTGTGCGGGACCTTGTCGAAGGACACGGCTGTTTTTCCCTAGACTTCAGCAGCAGGCAATAAAGTGAGTGACAAACAAGACAAGCAGCCATATGCGATCAATGCCTGCAGAAATGGTAAAAAAAAAAAAAAAGAGAGAGAGAGAGAAAAGCCCTCTCTGAACAGGACCCCACACGTGCATCAATAAAAACATTCCAAGTGATTCTTGTGATGTCTTGTAACTGAAAATATTCACAGATGTCTTACTGTTTAAAATCATCTCAGTCATAGCAGCATAACTAGTGCAGAAGTAACAAAACTTTTTCCATTATCACATTTAGACCATTTAAGTTGAAAGAGCCAACTTTGTTTATTTATTTATTTATTTTACAGAATGACAAATTATTATTCCTCTCTATATAAATGGTATGTTCATCTCAGTGCTTACATATTTATAGCTTTAAAAGAACCGAAAGATTGAATCATAGAACTGATACTCTTCATCTTTATATGACAAGTTTCTTGTATTGTCCAATGAATTACACAAGTACACTGATATATAAAATATAACTTATCACTATATGTTGTTTAAGATTTGAAATGGAATGAAGATGATAAAATATTGAAAAATGATGTTTATCACTTGTAAGATAGCACTTGATGCCTTTTGAGGGCGTGTGTTGCATTAGACTATACTGCCATCTGGTGAACAGGCTCTGCTTACTGAAATATTTGTAAAATATTGCTTTGTGTACATTTGTCATTTTTGTTGATATACAACTAGTATACCGTGCATTTTGGGGTTTGAATTGATTGGTAATTGTATCAGGATCATTCCTACTGCAGTAACATACAGTCCGTGTCAAAAGGCCACAGAGAAATAATATTTGGTCTGTTTGAGTTGTTCAGCACTTTTCAAAGCTAATTACTTAGCTGCATTAGTATTTTTAATTAGAAGTGGTCAATTAGAGAAATGGAAACCAACAAGCTTTCTCTTTTCCATTTCATTAATGAAAGTGATGTGCATATAGCTCAGGGCTTGACAAATTGTGCATTCATCAGAGAGATACTGTTTTGTTACTCATGAAATAAGTCAAATGTCCTTTAGAGAAATTTTATTTTCTTAATGGAGAGTAATGGAATGTATTTCCCTGTTATTTTCGTAGTTGCTTTGACATCTCAACTAGAGTCCAAAGGAGTGCTTAAATGGCATTGTACTATTACAGACAACTTTTTAGACAGATGCATAGAAGGCAGACTCACCAAAATATAGCTGTTGTCTTAAGGATGTTGCACTAGTATGGAATTTCAAATTATGTGTTATTGGTCATATCAGTCAGTCTTAATCCAGATTGTCCTGTAGGTTCCTTAAACTGAAAACCCAAGCACAATTAATAGCTTAATTTGGTTCCTACTCTTCTTGTTATGATTTTGAAAAACCAGTGTAACCTGTGAGTCTTGTGATCCATTTATTATTTATTTTCTTCTGTCATGTGATTGGTTAAAATCTGTTTATGTGGTAATTATTTGTTCTATGACAAGAATTAGAGTATTTTCCAAATGTTTTTACAAGAAACCTATTTCAGTTTTACTTAAAAATTTCATGCCATTTCTTTGTAATATTTGTGAAATTTACTAGCAATTTCTGAGTAAAAATTGTTTATACACCATTATTTTTTCAGTATATATATGTTTACACAAAAAAGCTACTAATTTAAGGTACTAAAAATAATTCACAAATGTTATCATGGAAATATGAAAAAATACTTCCTTCTGTGAAATAATAATAATAGATGTCTCATAAAGAGTTTTAATAAGTATGATTTAATTACATTGGAAGAAAAATAATTATACATTAAATAAATAAATATAATAAACTCTTGAATTGACTGCTGTTTTATTTACATCGTCCATCCCATAATGAAGAAGAAGGGATTGACTTCTGGATCACATAAATAAACAAAGGTTTAGCTAAAACAGAACATACAATTACTATATTGCTACTGTAATACTACGACAGAGAAAACAGACACATATTCACAAAATGTAAAAATGTCTTTCCATCGGTGGATCTTGAGCATCAGTAATACACACTTCTCTTCAGAATGTAAGGCCGCCTTGATTTATTGGTGCGCAGTTGCCTTTTAAGTATATATGGAGATTTCCTCTTCAGTGGACTGTCGTTGTTTTGGTCCAGCTCCAGATATTCTTGATCGTCTTGTAGCTGAAATGAAAGGCAGAATGCTTCAACTATTTCCCCCAATGCCTCTCATATTATTACAGGGCTGAAAATCACAGCAATTGGGTGGACAATGCTGTCAATTAACTGCCAAGTCCTGACTGATGCTCAGTTCATCGCCTGGCTCTTTCTATTTCTATTTCTCCTCAGAGCTGCACTGAAGTGTGCTTGAATAAGATGTATAACTGATGGAGTCTACTTCTCATAATGATAGGGCCACACTTTAAAGGCAAGGGCAATTTTTGTGAATTTTAATAACCATGAGGTGACACATGTACTGTGTGTGTGTGTGTGTGTGTGTGTGTGTGTGTGTGTATGTAGGTTTCATCAATTTCATTGAATCCGATGGAGTTAATACTGGAAATCTCTGATTTTATTTTCTTATAATTTCTTACAGTAATATATTAAATTAAGACGTAATTTTATATAATTTTTACAATATAAAATATAATATCCAATTTTTGTTTTGGTGTTGTTCATGTGTAGTTTGAACATTCAAAGTATTTAAAATAATATGTAAATATGTAAATATGCAATAATCATTATACATTATATATATAATAAAGATTTGTGTGTGTGTGTATGTATGCATATATATATATATACATATATATATATATAAATAAATAAAAAAAGCTAGGAAATATTTCTCATTTTCATTTAGTTTAACTTGATGAACTAAAATAACTAAACCTAAAACTGAAATACAAACTATATAGCCAAAATAAAAATTAATAATGACAAAAACACAAACAATTACTAAAACTATAAATAACATTTAAATAAAAACAGAAAATATAAAAATAAACATTAATTCAAACTATTAATTAAAAAAAACAATAGTATCTCATATATACTAAAATAACACTGCTTGATATTGGTGCTGTAGTGCTATTGAAGAAAAATCATCAGCTAAACAACAAGCACTAAAATGTTCATAAACCATTTAGCCTCTTTATGTAAGCAATCTTTTTTTGTTGTTTGTTTGTTTTTGGCTTGTGTTGTAATCAATTTGGCAACATTTCTTTTGAATATAGCATAAAACTGAAATTAAACATTTTGGAAGAAGAAATACCATTGGTATTTTTAATTTCATGCTGCATTTTACATAAATCTGCATCAATATTTATAAACCACCCTATGTTTCAAATATAAAAAAAATCAGCCTTTGTTATGAATTGTTACCAAAAAAATGACAAAAATGCCTATATGTCATCTCTCACCTCTCTAGGCTGCAGGACCCTGCAGAGGTTCCGGATGTCATGCATTTGCTCAAGATTTTGGGCGAGGGTACCCGAGACCCTCTGCTCATAGTCGGCCTGAACCTCCACGTCCTCCTGCTCCTCCTCACTGCCCCAGGCCTCCGGCCACGACTCCCCAAGACTGTTCATCATCCTGCACACATCCTGGAGCGGCAGCTGCCACAGGGGGGAGATGTGCTTGCTCTGCTTTACCTACACACATGGTGAGAGAACAAAAATGTTTACTTACAATGACTCACTCTCACTCTCAGCTTTATTTCAGCTTATAAAAAAGTCACACTGTCTCCAGCCATTACTATATTCTCAGTCCACTTACAGGGTGCCAATACTGGATAAGCACATTTTGAGTTTTCTCTAGTGTTTTTATTGGCCTTCACAGGATAAATCTAACAAGATCAAGGCCTGGTGTGATATCTGGAAATCTGTTTTCAACCTGCTGGCTGTAAATTTGTCTTAAAAAGTCTTAAATTACAGTTCTTAAATAACACAATCACATATGAGTTCATACGTTTGATATTAAAAATAAGTGCAAATAATCTCAGTAATTTAAACATATCAAACTGAAAGATTTTTTTTTTTCTTATTAAATAACAGGAAAATGTCACCTGTATAAGACCTGCAGGCTGTCTGCCATTAAAGTAACTATTGCACTACATTTAATTAGACTTGGCCAGCTGACATTTTAAAACTTAGCCTTAAAGACATCATTTAATGTCAGTATTCAAAGTCATAATTATTAATTAACTCTGCAGTAGAGAGGATGTCTATACGGAAAGTTACAAAAGCCCAAAATTGTGGTCAGCATTAAAAAAAAAATGTAAAGAAAATTATAAAAACCATGATGCTACATGATTCTCTATTGATAATGGATAACAGTCAGATGTACTGACGATAGATAATGGATGTTAATGCGGTGCAGAATATTGCTGAATGAATGAAGGCAGCTGAGTATCATTTCGGGCAATGACACATCATTTGGTCCACCAGTAGAGTGCAAAAGCTTCATCCATTTTCCTTTTTGAGTACACTGCTTCTGATTTGCTGCCTGATTGAAAGCTTTGTCTTTTTCAATCAATAGTTTACAAAAACATGTCATTTCGTATTACGTTTAACATCAGTTAGCATATACATTTGTGGACTGCTGTGCACCATGGCATTCATGAAGACAATAGCATTTTATGAAATGCTGAGTGATTGGAGCACAAACCTAATTTTACTATAAATCCCAAAGCCCTGTGCTATTCTGTTTTCCCTGTGAAAATGCCTCTCCAGATGTATTAAACAGATTTAATGCTTGTGATGGTAAAGTTAACTGGTAAAGATGATTGTTTATTTTGTTTAATAAATCTGTAGTTTTGTTTTTTTTTGCTGTATTCTCAAAACCAAAAACCATGAAATAACCATGACTTTAATTTAAAATTCAGCTGCCCCACAGTCAAAGGGCATATCTATATTAAGGCCCCATATAAGGCCAGTATTGCCTCTGTTGGCTCCCACTCAACAGGTGTTTTAAAAGCAAGTCTGTACCTTTGAAGTGAGGAGACTTCTCAGTACCTCTTCCTCTATTGCCCTTTTTCCCTGGTCTATATCTATAAAGAGTGGGGAAACACACAATGTTGACATGTTTTAAGAGTAGGACTATACACATAATGAGTATACACACATCAAAGTACAGAGAAACCAGACACATTTTTGCCTGCAGACAGTAGACAGTAGTAAGTCTGTTTTAATTCAATCAGATCAGGGAAAAAAAGTGAATGGGTTTGTATTTCATATTATTCATATATTCCAAGATAGGTAGAACCGTAAGATACATGCACAGCAATAAGTTTAAGTCTAACGTATAAAATGTCTTAAAGACATTAGAGCATTAAATGAGTGACTTTCTTTATTTCAAAGGGAAATTGTGATATACTGTATAAATAGCCATAAAAGCAGAAAAATATTCTACAGCAAATGTAGACAAACATTTTTATGTATATACGATTCCATCTATTTAAGTTGTATTTTAAAGTTTTATCTTTATTCAATTGCTAATAAAATTATCCACACATAATAGAGTCTAATGATGCATACTGCTGGTAAAAATACTGATTATCCTTAATATCAGTTAGATAAAGACATAGCAGATAGTTAAAACTAAGTAAGACATTAAAAGACATAATGTGAACATTAGCTGTCAAAGATCATAATCATGAAATATTTATCTTGCAAAAGGTTGGTAATTTTTAAATGGTAATTAAAATGTGCTTTTTTAGAAGAAGTAAAATCAGTCTGTATAAATTGATAAAAGTGCTTTTACCTGAACACAGTCCATTACACAGTAAAAAAAGGAGCATAACGGAGGTCAGCTGCATTTGCATTTTCTTAGTAGTCCCACAGTTTCTGCACATTCAAGCTGGGCCCAAGTCCATAGGGTTAAAGGTCATAAAATGGTATGAAAACGGATGGAAGAATACGAGAGATAAGTTGTAAGAGAGTTACAGAGACAGAGAGAGAAAATCACAGTGCGTCCTGCAGAAGTCACGATGCTGTCTTCTTGGTTTCTTATCCAACCTGTTTGCTGTGTCTTCTCTTGGCTTTCTCAGAAGTGAAGTGAGGAATGGCGGGCTCCATTCCACCCGGTATATAAGAGCCTCTATGATGTCAGAGGAGTGCACTATCGTTCCTACCCCTCCCGTATCCATCTCCATATCTCTCTCTCTCTCTCTCCATCCCTCCCTCCCTCCATGTCCTCTTGTCCTGTGTCACGATGACATCAGCAAACACCTCAGAAACCACTTTGATTGTTGACGTCAAAACTTTCAGAAATGCTCATTTGATGTTCCTCTCTTCATTCTAATGGAGGGAGGGGGGAGTGAAGAAGTGAATTTATGATTAGTTCTTAGAAGCGGGATGATGAAAGTTGGAGAGGTTGCGCAGTGCCTTCATTTGAACTCACTGATATTGACAGTCTTCAAGAATTACCAATCTTATCCTGTATTGTTCAACTCCATGTCAACCCAATAATAACTCTTATTGTCCGTCATGCTTTCCATTGTCATGTGTTGCTCATACTGTGCTTAGATAAAATATAGACTGTTTTGAGAATCCAATGTGTGACATTTAACCTTGAAAGATTCTCTTAGTACAGTTTGTAATGAAACGGGCTTTACTTTTGATTGCTTCCAAAAACTAATATTCTATCCAGATACATGATGATAGCCACTGTCAAGGTTGAAATATTATGATGCATTATAATTCATCATTATACAGAATTAAAGACAAGGGAGTGTTGTAACACTGTCAGTTTAACCAATCAGAAATGAGTTACAAGAGTGAAATCATGACCACCAACCTCCTGAGGTGTGTTAGATTCTATAAAAACATGACAGACTCACAGGACAAATAGAATCCTGTTTGTAGAGTAAAAAATAGCTATTTTATTTGCCATGAAATTGATTATATTGAAATCAGATGTTTAAACTGAAAAGCGTGGTATTAATGGAGAATGGCATAACATATTTGCCACAATAAAACTAATTAAAAATGAAGATGGCGAATATCGAATATTTGTAAAATATTTGTTATTATTGTGACGACCCATTCAAGTAGTGGGGTATGTTGTAATATCAACGCTCTTTAACAGTCTGTAATTCATTTAACTGAGCTTATTTTTAATGTCTAACTGATTCAAATTGTTGCAGATAAATATGTGAGCATTATATCAGAGAGTCGTAGCGTAAGGGAAAACAAAAACAGAGTTACAGACGCTGAAGGAAAATGTGTAGCAACACTCCCCGTTCTCCAAAACAGCACAGACGCTATCATCACAATCATCAGCTTCACACAGTTATCCAACAAGCGGGTTTTGTCGCCTCCCTCCGTGTGAAGTGGGCCGGCCCTGCTTGAAACTCCTCTTACTTAGAAGTTCGCAAGTTGTTCAACTTTTTCCACGACCAGCACTTCAGTGCCACTTTCTTGATTAGGTTTACGCGCTCCGTTCTGTCACACGATGTCTTGGATCTGACCTGCGATCATACTGACGCGCGATGGCTCCTTTTGGAAAAAACTTTCTGAAGGCGCGTTTGAAGAACAGGTATGATTCACTCCATTTCATTTAAGATTGCGCAGTCTTACCACAGACATTTCATGGAATAAATAAATAGCTATTTATTTGAAAAGTCGAAACAAGCGTAAAAGGTAGAAACATTACATGTTTTTGTTCTCTCTTAGAATGCGTAATTAAACGCGTACAGTTATTGTTATGGGCTGTAAACGCTGTAACAACAACACTTGCTCTCACTCAAGTGTTTCGCTGCATGGTCGCAGAGAGTCGAGTTACACTTGATGCTGTTGTTCTGCTTGCACTGGTGACTCTCTTGGATGCTGGTAGCTGGCGTTACGCAAAACGAGTGTCTCCAAAATGAATCATTTTTTCTAAATTAATTCTTGCATGACGGCGGATGTGCGTAACGGTGCGTCCGAGTCTTGATGAAATGAACTGAAAAGGCTTAATTTTGTAGTGTCGTATTCAATATAATTGACCTATTTAGTTACTTTAGGTCTTGGATTACTATTATTATTATGAAAGTTAGTACATGTAGCATTCTTTTTGTCCTAACTTATTTAGAGAATGTTTGTCATTTTTAAGACAGTTTGAACTGGGGGATGGAGGTTTTAAAAGTAGGTGTTCTTTTTAATTACAAGTATGCATTTCAAACAATAACATAACAGTAAGAAAAAGTCCGTAAAAATGTACTAAATGTGTAAACTTGCGAACAGAAATGTAAGCAGGTAACCATAGCAACCATAATTGCACGATCGCTGTCAGTATCGACGGTACATGACAAAACATAAATATGTTGTCATTATTTATCGCAGTGTTAGAGATGTACACATCATTAGAAGATATGCAATATAGTTGACGGGTAGCTAGATTCCAGTGGCGTCAACAATATTGTAGATGACGGACGGGTAGTTATAGTTAGACTTGGCCTGAAAAAATTTGGGTTGCTTGAGATAAATTTCAAGTGAGCCAAAGACTATAGAAAAAAAGCACTTTGATTGAGCCCATAAATTACTGCCAACATTCTTTTTTTTTAAGTTTGCACTCTTTAAGGTTCATGTCAGGGTTTATGTTGTTTTGCCAAATCTTTCACCATTTTTATCTATTTATGCATGTTCTATGCAGACAATTTATTGCACAGCAAGACATTTTAGTTGTCTTTACTAGTCTTTTTAAGCTTGAGACACTCTGGGGGGACATTATATTTTTATGATGCTGTATAATCACCTTTAAAGCATAAGCCAACTGTAATTATCTTAAATGTTCAGAGTGAAATCTAATCAAAGGTAATCTAACTCTATGTCTGCTTTATTTAATGTGGTCAATGCAGAATATCATTCTAACTGTTGATTTATACATGCTTTAATTCATAGGCATGCTTTTTGTGAAAGTACAAAGGTATATGCTCTAACAACGACAGTTTAAACTGGAGGTGGTTATTACACTCAGCTAAAGTCTCAATCTCAGCTGAGATTGTCGTAATTGTGTGGGTATTTTGGAGCACCAAACATAATGACACTCTGTTAAGGCTTAAATAAAAACGTTCTAGAGAAGCATTACCATTTTTAACCTATACTTTGCTTTGCTAAAGCTGTTGAGACAAACTGCTCCACCTAAACATGCAGTGGAGATGTTTTGTCTTCTCAGTGATGCTTTTCAAGACTTTCTGAAAACCAGCAAACCACAGTGAAAAAAGTTTTTTCCTCAAAAATATCTCATGCTTTTTAGATAGGGCTCAGGAAGCACACTGTTTTTGTCGCTGCCTCTGTTTTACAGTGGCTACACCAAAAAGAAAAAAATAAATCGCTCAGAAATTGCTAGCAAATTCCACAATTAATTACAAGAAAATGGCAAGTAACACATTAAATGAAAAGTTAAGTAATTTTTTAGTAAAGTATTTTCTTGCAAAAACATGCTTCTTTAATCTTTATTTATAACTTTGAAAAAAAAATTACTGTATAGATAGTATGTTTCCTTTACATTATAACGTGAACATTTCAATTATGAATTCCTCCCTTCACTTTTGCCTCTCTCCAGTTCACATGTGCCCACTAAAATCTCTCAGTCCTCTCAGATACCTGTTAATGAATCAGTCGACACAGGCAATATCCATAAATTAAAACTACATCTGCTCTTAACTTACATGGTTATCTGCTGCATAAGGATTTATTATATAATCAATATCTACAACTTTGACTAAATGTACTAATATAACGATAATGAATTTTGTTAATGAGATATAGCACTGAATGATCTGCACATCTTTGTTAAATCACTGTTTAATTTCCCAAGCATATTTTTGTACAGCCTAATAAACCTTGATAGACTGAGTTCAGGAGATTATGTCCAGTCACTGTGTTGAGTCTGTAGAAGGATACAGTGTGTTCTCTGTAGTACAAGGATCAAGTCTGGCGGTCACATGTGTGTTTGTGTCTGCTCTGTGAGTTGAGAAGCAGAGTGTTCTGTTCTTTTCACCTTCAGTGGTTCTCTGATAATGTCTCTGGTGTTGTGTTCATTAGGGCACAACAGATACATCTAATCTACATTTCAAACCAGGCTTTTGTTTTATGCATGTACATGTTTGTTGTAGTGCTTCACTCCATTCGTTTGCAATATATCCGTGAAATGGAATTCATAATTTTCCATTGCCTCACAATACATGAACGTAGTGGCAGGATGTATGTAACAGGATGCTGCTGGTCACCATTGATTTTCCCACAAGACAAACACAGGTGCTTCCATTCCCCCTCTTTTGTTTCCTGTACTCATGACAATTTTGGAAAAGGCTAAATAAAATAGACCATTTCATTTTTAATTCCCAGTGTAGATTATTCTGAAATTTCATGTTGCTCAGACTCCTTCAACAAGCCCTTAAAATGGATCCAAATTGTATAGCAAGCCAAGAAAGCACATTGTTAACAATTTGAGGGTGAACGCTTGTATTGTATTATAGCATATTGTCTGTTTCAGTGTAATGTGTCTGACGTGTGGACAAGCTTCTGTACTTGCTTATTATGTAAATGCCAGGGTTGTACTCTTCTGTTATGATGTCATGTCAATGATGTCATGTAGAATTACTAGCACTGGTGTGAATGTGGGGTTAACTGTTAAAAATAGCATTGTATACAGTAAGTTACATCATGCAACATTTAACAAATGGCTATTTTTCATTTAGTTTGTATACTTTCAGTCTAAGATAAAGGCCTGTAGCCCTACAGAATACAGTATATTTAAGGATAGTTTGTCTTTCTGTATAACAGTGGTGTATTGGGTAGTCTGCTATGTGAATTAGCTCAACTATTTACTTTTCTGTAGAGTAGCAGCAGGGTCTTCTAAATATTAACTAACCTGCATTCTTGCATATATAATGCATTCTTTTGAGGTCATTCATTAAAGGGATAGTTCACCCAAAAATGAAAATTACCCCATGATTTACTCACTCTCAAGCCATAGAAGGTGTATATGACTTTCTTCTTTCAGACGAATCCTCGACTTGACTTATATCGAAATCCTCCAACATTTTTCTTTACAAATCCT